CCCCGGCTGCGCTTTCCCTGCTCTCGATTTTCTCCCAACATGCAGGTGCTCCCCCGGGGCAGCGGAAGGAGGGAGGCAGATATCATGGGGGAGATCTGATATGCGGAAAGCAATATGGCAAAAATAAATATTTCTGGAGTGTAAATTTAACCTTTTTTTCCTCCTTAAAATTTCATTAGCTTACAATATTTTATCAGTATAGCTCGTATATATATTATAGCTATCGAGGCTGGGGAGGCCTGAGGGAGGCGAGCTCTCTGGGGCTCTGCGGGGCTGTAGTGCCATCTCAAACGTTTGTCCCCAGCCGCCTATCTGGGCCACTTTGCGCTGAAGTTTTCTCCAAAGCAGCTCTCGGCTTTTGCATTTGCCTGGCTCCTGTACCCATGCAGCGTGCCAGGAGGCTGGGATCCAGACAGCATGGCCATATGGCTTGGGGGCTTCCAAGTGGAAGCAGGGGGCTCTGCCCTTGTTTTCAATAACCCAGCCGTTCTTTCCAGACTATTCCTCACGCCCCTGGACTTGTGAGCAGGATGCTCTGTGCTCCCTGCGTCCCCACCGCCAGCCAGACCCCACCGGGCACTTCAGCAGGGCTGGGGACCTCCACCTGCTCCCCCACGGCTGGAGCTGGCGCCGTGGCTCTGAGGCCGGGGGCTCTGCTCGTCCTTCGCCCCCTCTTGCCCTGGATGAGTCTCGTAAAGCAAAGGGAAAAGCCGACAGCACCCAAGTCCCTGCAAAACGACAGGACTCTTGGAGGTGCAAGCCTCCAGCATGCCAACTACGAAGGGTGCACTGGCCGAGCAGGCTGGCTCTCAGAGGACCTATTACCTCCCCACCAAGCCAAATCTGCCCAGTGACTGCAGGTTCTTATATTTTTTTCCCTTAATTTTCTTCTTCTTTTTTTTTTAACGTGGCCTCCAAAATAAAATGTAAAAAGCGCCTCAGTTACTTGTAGTCATTTGTCTTTCGTGCAACTGAACGTCCATGCAATTTAAAAACTGCTTGCATATCTCCAAAGAGAGAGATAGGGCTAGCCACGGGTCCATTGCCTTGCACAGAAAACCCATCTGTGCTAGCATCCACTATTATTATTATTATTATTATTATTACAATATTTTTCTTTCCTTTTCTTTTTGTTAAGAGAACAATGTGACAGGCCGCAGAAGAAAACTGCCAAAGAGGACTAGTGACAGAAGGGAAAAGGGGAAGGCAGGACAGGAGGCAACTCTAAATCAACCCAGGAAGTTCCCAGTGTGCATTTGCCTTCTCCGAGACGCCGGAGAGACGGATCACCTGGACATGATGCCACATGCCACAGGCTCGTGCCTGAGCACCAGCAGGCCTGGGGAGCGGTGTGGAAATGCTGCAGCTCTCCCTCTCTGGGTGGACTCACTCTGCTCACCTGTGACCAGTCCTGGACTCTAGCCGGGCTCTGGGCGAGCAGCCCAAGGCCGAGCTCCCAGGGGTGGGAGGATTCAAGACCTCGCGTGTCCCAGCAAGTCACCAGGTGCCCTGCAGGTCTGGGGAGAAGTGCAGGGGCCCACAAAGATCCTCTGCTGCAGCCGGGCATGGGAAGGTTTCCAAGATCATCTCCTCCGTTGTCCTGCAGACCTGGCTTACGTGCTGGCAAGGTTTCATTTCCTATGGGTTGTTTCAAACATGCAACAGACCTTTGCAAATGGAGCTGTGGGAACGGAGCTTCTCCGGTGGCTTCTTCATTTTCAGGTGGAACATGTCAGGCATAATCCTGCATTCAGTCCAGAGCGAGCATCACCACTTGGTCCAGCCTCAGGACTGCAATGCCAAAAGCTGGGAATGCACCTCTCACTGCCGGCTTTGCTTCAGTCACCTTCTCTGTGATGGGACATGCATCCACGTCCTTCCCCCTTTGGCAAGACTCTGCGGCTCTGTTACATAGGTGCGTGGCTTTGATTCCTCTATGTGTGTGTTTGGCTTGTGTCGAGTTCTTAGGGGTTTTGTTGTGATTTTTCTTTTTTTGTTGTTGTTTGCTGTTTTCCTCCAAAATTCCAACCCTTTCCCCCCCCCAATTCACTTCCCTCTCCCACAATGCACTTCCTTGCACTCCTTCTCGGACCGGCTCCAAGTCCTTCTCCAAAATTCAAGAATCACCCGCGAGCACCGGCTCATCTTTTCTGGCCGGAGCCGAGCATGACCCTGGAGACAAAGTTGACGATGGCTGCAGCTGGCTGGTCCGGATCCAGCTCGGCGAAGAGATGGCAAATGTTGTCCGTGGTGCTCCCTTGCTTCCTGGCCACAAAGCCAAAGAGCCTGGATGGAAGAAGGCAAGAGGTTCAGAGAAGTCCTGAAACAACCCGGGGGAGGCTCAGGGACTGCTGAGGGTAACACGGGAACTCTGATCCCTGGTGGGGAGCCCGAGGCTCCCAGGGCAGTTGTCTGCAAGCCCTTCTGCCTCAGAGCTCTGCCCAGAGCCCTTCCTGAGGAGCATCTCACAGGTTGCCCAGCTCTGCTCACACAAGGGCAATACTGGACTCTTCCTGCATGGGCCACTCCACCTTCGCCCTCTCAGCCTCCATCTCACACGACACAGTGCGAGACATCGTTGACAACCAGCCTACATGAACACTGACCTACCCGTCCCTTTGCTGCACTTTCTCTGAGGACCAATACTGCATTTCCCTTCAAACACCTCTCCACCAACCTTCCTGGCTCCTTCATTCTGACCATTCCTATCATCTTCCCCAGGTTGTCCCCAGGAAAGGACCTTCCAAATGGTCCCAGCACTGCCTCCCTCTGGGTGAAGCCACAGATGTGTGACTGGCCAGTCGTTAGGTAGGCACTGAGGAGATCCTCTAACACTGGAAAGGCCATGCAAGGACATGGGGAGAGCAGACCCTTCTGCTGCTGCACACAGAGCTGGGTGAGACCATGCAGTTATTCCTGTCTGTCCTTCCCGTAGTGAATAAAATGTTCCTTTTTTAATTAGAACGTGAAAACTCAAGTTATAAATACGGAGGAACAGAATGTGAGACAGGCCGAGGCCATGGCATTTCTAATTGCAGAGGGAAAATATCCCAGCAGCTGGGCATCCTAATAAAAAACCCTTCACTAAGATAATGGCTAAAATTAGTGGGAATTGACCCCTGGAACTGGGCTCAGCCAACAACTCTGTGCTCCTGCAGTTCAGGAAAAGGAGGAAGAAATGAAGGGAAGAGCCAGGAGGGTCACTATGGCACTGCATGGATCACATGTGGTTAATGTTACCCTACCATTCTGCTCCATGAACCAGTCTCCCACTAACAGAACCAGGATGGTTTCCAGCGAGTCCAGTTCAATGTGGTCCATACCTGCTCCAATCAGGAATTTGGGGCCAAAATATGCTTACTGAGTCCCTGGGATCGCAGTCACATGCTTGCATGAAACTTTCCTCCAGCAAGGGGCTGAGCCTGTCCCTTGAGGGACAACCTCTCACAACCCCAGAGTGGGAAAGCCAGTCACCATGTGGAGTCTCTAACACAGTCATTTACTGCCTGCTCACATCCCCACAGACCTCTTCTCACCCATCTCACTGGCCTGTCACACATCCTGGGTGCTTTTCCCTCCCAAGACAAGCTAGCAAAGCCCAGTGAGTGCAAAGAACCTGGTCTCTCTGTTGGCATTTGCTGCCCCAAGCCCAGTGCCCAAGGAAACAGTCCTCCACAGAGGGTAATGGGGACACCAACCCTGGAAGCATCCCTCTGTGCCCTGTGACAGTGCCTGCCGGAACAGCCCAACATACTTGCGTGCAGGAGACAGGACGTATAGCATCACTGTGACAGGCAGCAATCCAGGGGCCTGCCATGGCTGGAGAGGGGACCTCATGGCCACCCAAGAGTACCCCCTGCATAGAGCATCCCCAGCCAGGGCTGGAGCTAATGCTCAAACACAAGCCAGGGCCACCCCAGTGGAGGCTGGGAGGAACTGAGCTCAGAAAGTACTTACTTGGCTGGGCCGCTGCCATCAGTTTTAGTCCACCTGCAAGGAGAAGAAGAGATGTGAGAAGTCGCATCTACTGCATCCTGCAGAGCAAGGAGGTAGTTTTCCAGTGCCATCTCCACTGGGGTCATCATGAAGACATGGGCATGGTCTGGACTTTTCACAGGTTTGGTACTTTAGAAAAAGATGGCAGTCCTGGGAGGGTCTGCAAGCAGGTCCATGGTCTGCAGCCATGCCCAGGAGGGGTGCACAGAAGAGCCTGTGCACATTATCTGGATGGCCTCGCTCTCCACAGCATCTCCCTTGCAGCGACCCAGAAGCATCTGCCTTGCAGTGACCAAGAAGTCACTGCAAGAAGCTGGCATTTCCCCAAGGTATCTGGGGGCACCCTCCAACTCTACCCTCCTCCAGGGAAACGGGGACTGAGCAAACAAAGATCCTGCACCAAGCAGCTCAGGAGCCTGGAAGGAGGAGAAGGGCCTGGGCATGAGCTCCTCCTGGGCTAGGGCACTCACTTTCTTTCCTGGGGATCCAGGTCACAGAAGGTGACAGTGTTGAGGGGATAGTGTCGTCGGAAGAACAATCTGAAACACAAGGCAGGGAGCCACAGTCAGCCAGGTTCCTGATTCCACCCCATCACCACAGTCCCAAGCAGGACCAGCCCATCACTGCTGAGCACCCATCTGCATGGGGGCCGTTTCCCTAGGTCTCCTCTGGGATGTGCCAGGAGCCAAGGGCAGAGCTCATCCCTGCCAAATAGCAGCCTAATGCCACCCCAGGGAAGTCCTTTACCAATGGAATCCTTGGGTCACAGCTAGTCAGTTCCCAGCACGGTACCCAAGTCCCACACAAGCTTGGGCCCTGGGGACTCAAGGATGCGGCTCCAGGAGCTCTTACTTCCTCTGGTTGTCTGTTAAGGTGATGCCTTGCGCGGAAACCTTGAAGTGGACGATAGTAGCGGTGGGCGTGGGGTCGGCGACCAGCGTCTCCGAGACGGCCTTTGCTATGGCCTGGGGGCCCGTGAGCGACTCCATCTCCACAGAGTTGATAAAAAGGACGTTGCAGGCTGGAAAGGGAGACAGAGCAGAAACAGGGTGTGTGTTCGCTTCCGGCCATGTTCACCCCATGGCAGCGGGGCTCCGGGCAGCTCCTGCCTACTCACCCGCACCCTGTTTGAGGAGGTCCGTGGCAGAGTTGGTGGCTGATGCAGAGTCTTTCTTTTCCTCGGTAGGATCTAGAAGAGAGAAGATGTCACTGCTTCCCTCTGCTTGAAAAGTGACCCCTTTCTTGGCAGCTGGGCTGTGGGGGCAGATGCACTATCCCCCTTCCAATCACTGGTTATCTCAGGATGGATGCTGCCTCCCAACATGCCATCCCGAGGGAAGAGCCCAGCCTGGATCTGGGCTGCCTGAGCGCAAGGGTGGAAGGGGAACAGTGGAGAAGCACAGTCCTCAACATGGAGAGCAGAGGGATGTGTCCCAGGACTGGCTCTGCTGGGGAAATACAGCCCGGAACGTCGCTCTGGCTGGCAGGGGAACCAAGATCTCATCCCAAGCTGCAGAGGGGCAATGCTGCTGCTTGGCTCCCTTCTGAGCATGACTCTCACCTCGGTCAGGAATGACCAGCTTGCAGGGCAGGGCCAAGGGCATGATGGAGTGCTGGTACACCAGAGCCGAGAGGCACCCTGCAGAGAGACAGGACACAATCAGCACGCAGCTGGGGACACCGATTATCCTGCCTCGGAGCACATTAGCCACACGATAACTGGAACAAGGGAAGTCTCCAAGCTCCCCTCTGCCCAACAGCATCATTTCTCTTTCTCTTGCTGTGCACTTCCAAAGCTGAGGATCTGTGATACACTTTGACAAGGTCTGTGCAACGCTGTGCTCTGACTTGCACACAACTGCATGTGTGTGCATGTGCAGGAGACCAAGCAGCATGTGCACTTTACGTTCAGACGTGCGCACACGCACACATGTATAGACATGCATTTTGGTGCATTTGTGTGCATTTATTCATGCCATATTCATGTAGATAGAGGGCTCTTCAGTGAAATTTAGGCATGCGTAAAGGTAAGTACATCTATGTACACATGAAGTGTGCACATATGTGCATACATGACACCAGAGGCTTCTTAAGGCCCTGCAGGATTCAGTTATGCAAGAACAAGTGGCAGAGGCAGGGGCCCTCCCAGACACCTGGTTGCTCTGCTTTGATAGAGTCCATCAAAGCAAAGATGTTCCCAGCCCTGCAGATAGGGAGGCACAGGGGAACACTCACCAAAATTGGGCTCATTGGGGCATCCTTTTAGTTTCACGCCCCGCGGGCTGGTCTCGATGAGGAAGTGTCTCACCAGTTCATTGGTGATGTCTCCTGGGAAGAGATGGGAGGTTTTCACACCGCAGCCACCCTCCTCCTCCCTGCCAGCTGCACGTAATCCTTCATCTATGGGAGCAGCCCCCACCCGGACTCTGTCACTCGCCTCCCCAGGATCCCATGGGAATCCAGCACTCCAGCCCTGTCCAGCTCAAGTGAGGGGGCCCTGCCTTTCTGCACGCCTGCCTTGTATCCGCTCCTTTGCAAGGGGCTGACCTCGAGTCAGGCTCCCCTGCTGCTGGGCTGGGGGGCTGTGCCCACTCCTCCATGCCAAGGACCAGTTGCTAATGACCCCCAAACCCTCCCAGCTCAGGGCGGACAGTGTCCAGCGTTTCCCCATGCCACCGGAGGGAAGGATGAAGGAAGAGATGGGAGGGAAGGAGGGGTGCTGCCGCCTCAGCACATACCCAAGGGCACACCATGCTCAGCAGCCCCGGCTGCCCGCACAGTGGAAGGCATCTCCGCGTGGGAAGCAGCAGGGCACACAATACCTTTCTTGTTCTGCTGCATGACCGTGGGAGGTGGGGACGCAACCTTCATGGCGAGGCCGTAGGCTCCCCGGAAGGAGTGGCTGTCGCGGATGATGAAAGCCCCTGGCTCTCTGTCCTTCAGCAACGTGATGGCTGCGGAGAGAGGGAGGCAGCTCTGAGACCCGTCTCAGCAGTGTCCGTGCAAGACGCGGCTGCTCCGCACGCCGAGCTGCACAGCTCCGCTGCGCTGGGAGAGGCTGTGCTCAAAGGGAGGCTTGGGGAGTGCAATGCCTGCAGCTGACTCGGGCCTCAAATCCACTCTCCCACAGCTCCAGCATCCCCACCCAACTTCACTCCCTACCCAGCCCCAGGATTTTCCCTCAAAGAAATTCTTTCTAGTTCTCATAATCCTGCAGCTCTCTCCAACTCCAGCCTCCAATACAGTGGTACATCCTGACTCTCAAACATGGCTCACTTGGCTGAAACCTTCATCTCAAGCCATTTACCCAAGGGTATTACCCAGGAGTATCCAAGCCATCTCCAGGAGCATTCACTCACCCTGTTCCCTGGAAATGTCCGGTTTGTACCAGTACTTGGAAGTGTCTTGGACAAACTTGACATTGGCACGAGTCTCAGGGCTGATGTCTGCAGGAAGGAAAGGGGAAAAGGAAAAAAAGTCAAGAGAGACTCTAAATAAAACCCTGTTTTTGTTTTCAACAGTTGCTGCCTGCAGTGAAGCATTGCCAGCTGATCTTCAAGAGCATTAATATCTTCACCCCATTTTAGCCCAAGTATATTGCCTTAACCTCTGGTCGTGGCAGGCTCCATCCAAACACAGGCAGGATGATCTGCACCTGGAGCTGGTGAGGTTGCACCTAAAGCTAAACCCAGGCACAAGCCTTGAAAGGCTATGCAGGGAAGAGCTTATCCTGCATGTATGCTGAGAAAAAGAAGCCATTCATTATTTAAAAGTTGGCCAGACAGGTGAACAAAAGCTGTCTGAGAAAAAGAATGGAATGTTCAGAGCATGGGGAGGAGATCCCCTAACCTTGGAGGATCTTTACCGCTCTCCAGAGCTGTATTGTTCATAAATATAAATCCCTTGCCTTATCTTAGCTCCATGCAGAGGACCCAACAGGCAGATGCTCCTCAGGAAAGGCGGCTGTTCCCCAGCCCCAGAGCAGCCCGACCTTGCCAGGCTCTGTCTGTGGCACAGCCCCAATGGGACCCAGTGCTCCTGTTATGAAACCTGTGCTTTGCTCACTCCACATTTCTAACCACCTGCTTTTCACAAACAGACAAGTAAACAACCTGCCAGGCCGGGTCAGGTAACGCCTCAGGCATTATCAGCCCTCTGCAATCTAGTTGCCTGTGGAGAGCTCGCTCTGGTCTCCAGCCCCCTCCCTAATTGCTACGGTTTCACACTTGCTCTTCACAGCTCAGACACATCCCTCCTCCCTGCGGGCCCGGAGGTTGGCAGCCCACAGCAAACGAGAGCGATGCGGCCAGGGCGCCCACAAAGGGCTGCGAAACCAACCCGGTCGCTGGAGCCGCTGCTCCGCCGGCGCTTTATTCCTCTTGTCCTATCAGCCCGATCTTGGCGTCATGGAGGTGTCTCCTAACAGGAGCAGGGGGACGGTTCCAGGCACGCTGGCACCCTGGGCATGGCTTTGCAAAATAAGGAGGCCACCGGATGTGCTGCAGCAGGGTCCCTCCGGGGCAAAACTAGCAGGGAAAGGGGCTCTGGGGTCAGCGAGTCCCCACGGGGGAGAAAGGCCACGCGGATGTGAGCGGCCTCCCGGGACTTTGATGTCCCCGTACACAAACTCCCGCACTGTTTATGCCAGCATGACAGCAAGTTTGCTTCTGATGCTAAGTCAGTATTTTCCTGTTTGGATTCGCTGCTTTTAAAAGCAGAAAAGCAGGAAGCGGCCCATGCCCCAGAAGTGCCGTGGGTTTCTACACCGACAGGAGGAACAAATCAAGTCACAACCTGACCTCCTCTCTGCTCACCAGTGCAGAAGAGGAAAGAGCAAGGGGTAAAGACAGGACAGGGAAGGGAGACTTGAGACATCCCATCCAGGAGAAGCCAAAGCTTCTCCTATGCCTTTTTCTACGTTCTTGTCACTGTGGAAGGGGGCCCCTGGGCATCCCTTACCTGGCATGGAAAACTTGGAGAAGTCCGGCAGGGTGTGGGAGAAAGTCACGGCGCTGCTGCCACTGGGGCTGGACATGCCGCTGGAGAGAGGCGAGGACATCTTGCCGTTGACGGTGGCGTAGTTGGGCAGGCTGCTGGAGCGGTCCCCGGCCGACATCCTCCTCTTCTCGGGCAGCGCGGGCTGCGGCGTGGGGCTGCCCTGCCGGTAGGCGGCCGAGTCGGGCGGGGAGGG